CATAATAGCTTTGAAAAAATTTCCCCAACCCCAACCAAAGATCATAATAATTTTGTTAGTTGAGAACTGGAATAAAATAAGGGCCTTGGTTTTTTGATCAGGCCGAGCTCATGCCTGCAAAAAAAATTTTGTTTTAGGTTAATATCTGATCCATAGTTAATAATAAAAAAATTCCTAAGCGTCCAAGCTGATAATAATTTGAAAAATTTGCCCCAAGCTTAACCCAATATAATTTATAAAAATATTTTCTAAGCCTAGCCCGACCCATTATAATTTAAAGAAAATTTTCTCAAATCTGGACAACTGATAATAATTTGAAATTTTTTTCCAAAGCCTGGAGCTTCCAAAAAAAAATAAATATTCATATAATTATATTACTTTATCAAAATATAGTTTCATTTATAAGAAGAATTGTAATACAAAATTTAAGATAGAAGCAGGCTGAGTTGGAAAGAACGTTTGCCTATGTAACGTTAACTCTATAATTCCTTTTTTAATAAAAAATAATTTAACATTATAGTTATATAGTCTCCTTCGATTTATTAACATTAAGATGATAGGAAAGTTGATAGAAAAAATAAAATTAACATTAAGATTATACGAAAACGTCATTTCCTGATTACGGCGATTATATATATTAGATAATGTATTTTATTATGAAATGGATCGATATGTAAACTATTTTAAAAAATATATAAAATTTACAAAAAATAATTTTTCCTCACATTCTTGCAAAAACAAAAATTCCCTTCTATTTTTTGCCCATTTTAGCGTGACCCATCCTATTTATTTCGAGCATGCGTGCCTCCGCCGCAAATTTTAGGACTAAAGCACAACATGGGTAATCAAATCGATTTGGGCCCGACCTTTTTAATTTCGATAAAATTTTATATACTGACAGAATATCATTAGAAAGCATCGAATCCAAAATTTTAGCCTCCCAGTACTCATTAGTTCCTGAGATATCAATGGTCAAAAGTGCCCAAAATGACTCGAAAAATACGATTTTTAAAATTGAGATAAGTTAAAAAATAATGATTTTAAAATATAAGTTATATGTCATTTTGTAAATCTATTAAAGGCCTTTTATTAAATATTAAGGATTTTTTTGCAATAATATTGTTGCGGTTTTTATTTACTTTATAAATTTTAAACATAAAAATCCAGGTGTTTCGCTTTTCAAATTTTTTTGAATTTAATATTTTCTTGTTCTCTAACCTTATATCTATTCATAAAAAAATTTAAACTTGGGACAACCAAAGGTTTTTTAGTTATTGGGATTTAAAAAATTAAAAAATAAATATTTTTTTCAAAAATAGATGGCGCTCCTTTATAAAATAACGCGATTTAAGATTATTATTTTTTAAACTTTTTTCTATTTTTAGCAAGATTTTATATCATTAATATCATGAAATGAGATTATTTAGCGGCGGTTATAATCATTTTTTTCTTATAAAAAATTTTAATTTTCGAAAATTTAAATTTTGTAGATATAATAGATAAATTAAAATTCATGAAAGATATTACCTATTTTCGGGTTTTCATTAAATTTAGTTTTTTTGACGCCATGATAATTTAGTGTTGCGATAAATTATATGTACGCCCAGTAGCCGTTGATAGGCTAACTATTGTTAAAATATTATTTTTTGGTATGAAAAGGATATCTTGTGCAGCTGGATTAACAAAAGAATTTGCTGGTCCTTTAGGGTGAAGAAAATTAATTTTTACTTCATCTCTAATTACATTCATTTCTTATGCAAATCCTAACCACCAATCGTGTTCATATGCACATGTTACATATCCTCTAATCTCATCGATTAACAGATCCTCCCTCAATCAAAGGATCCTCACGTGGATATACTATATTCTTCACAATAAATCTCTGCGAATTAGAATATATTTTAGTGTTGAGTTTAGTTAAACAATTACTCGCCTTAAAATGATTATATAATTTTTTCAAATGATTAAGAACTAACCTTTTTTGAGCGTTCACTCGTTCCCCCTTTTCAATGATAGATATGCAATCTTTTTTTCCTGGTAATACCCTACTAACTTCATTACTGCCAAATTTTTTTAACAATATCAACTGTTTTTTGATAGAGATATTTTTGCAGGCTTTCGATTTAGAGTTGAAATAATTACTTTTTCTTCTTAAACGATTTTGGATTACATGCCATATTATTAGGTAACGTTGAATGTCTTTTTTTTTATTTGCGCTCCAATTAGGAGGCAGAATGGTCAGCAATGGATATTTTTTTATTTTTAGATAAATTAGGATATTGTAATTTCATATTATTGAGTAATATCATTATTATCTTTTGTACCCGATTCTGGATTGTTAATTATTATATCTGAAATAGTTTTTTATATTTTCGCTAACCTTTTTTTTGGATAATTTTTTTCGGTTAGTTTTTTTTTCTTAATAGGAGATATTCCAATTTCGTTTAAAGTTATATTGATTGTATCTATTGATGTTGATGCTGAGTTGATATTATTTATATATTAGCTATCAGAATAGTTATATTTTTAATATTTTTTTGTGATAACCGTTTACGACATTTATCACAAATATAGTGTTCCGCCTCAATGTTTGCATATTTTGTCATTCACGTCATGACTTTACGCTATTTCTTTTTATAATTAAAGTGTTTAGATTCTTTATAAGGATTTAACGCATTTATATTTATACCTTATAAATAATTTTAAAAAGAAAAATAATATCAAAATATTTGTAAAATAAAAATTAATTAATATTAGGGACTTGCTTTTATCTTTCAACAATTAATTATTATATTTTCTTGTAGGAGATATCAGAATCTTAAATATCTTTTGAGGAAATTTAATCATTTATTATAAAACAACTAATTTTTACAAGTTATTTATATAATAGATAATCAGAGTTGTTAAAAAATACTTTTTATATGGATCTAGATACTGATACATTGTCTAAAATAATATCTAGATACAGATATTTTAATCAAAAATCTATTTAGATAGATACCATATTTTTATAAATCTGATAATAATAATAAGTAAGCCTATCAAACTGTCTATATAATATTTTTTCATGATAGTAATGCTGGAAAATCTTATTATTTATATTTAAAAATGAAAAAAAAGTTTAAAAAAATAATAATCTTAACAAAACACGTTATATTTATTTTTTGATTTTTTAAATCGTTAATAACTAAAAAACCTATGACTGTCCCAAGTTTAAATTATTTTTATGAATAGATGTAAGGTTAGAGAATAAAAAAATATAAAACTTTCAAAAATATCCTTAACATTTAATAAAAGGCCTTTAATAGAATTACAAAATGTAACTTATATTTTTAAAATCATTATTTTTTAACTTATCTCCATTTTAAAAAATCGTATTTTTCGAAAAAAGTCATTTTTGGCACTTTTGACCATTGATATCTCAATAACTATGAGTAATAGGAGGCTAAAATTTTGGATTCTATGCTTTCTAATGATATTCTATCAGCATACAAAATTTTATCAAAATTAAAAAAGTCGGGGCGAAAAGTTATCGATTTGGTATGGAATTACCCACATACTTAATATAAGGAAGAGACCTGCAAAGGTCAACAGTTTTGGCCTGGTCTAGGTTTGAATAATTTTATTTTTAAGCCTGGTCTTGGTTTTTTGCCTGGTCTGTATCCTTATTTTAGATCATTTTTTTTGGCTCATCCTAGAATTTGAAAATTTATTTAATCATTTTGGAGTATTTTGTAAAAAAAATTTATGGGAAATTGAAAATATGAGCAGTACATAAATATTAAACAACCCTTTATATAATTTTTCGATTCAACCCGTGTTTTTAAAATTTCTAGGCATGCCCGTTTATTTTGAAATTTGTAAGTTCAGCTCGGATTTTTTTAAATTGGACTATTGTTCAGGGTCAGTTCGGCAGGTCCTGATATAAAAATATATCCTATTACATTAAGGATCTGCATGATTGAATGAGAGGCAAAATATTTTTCAGGCCAAGAAATTTTTGCTCAACTTGAAATTTTGGATAATTTTTTAAACTTTGAATAATACAAAATATTATTTTTCTTCGTAATTAGTCATAACCCAGTATAAGGAGGTGCGAACTTTTAATTGACTCATCTAAATATTGTCATAGGCGTATCTAGGATTTCATATAGGAAGCATGTAATTTTTTAAAATTTGAGTATCATTATTATAGATATCATATAGTCCGAATACATGATATCTTAAAATGGAAATGCGGTGGGTATAAATTCCATGATTTATTACAATCTTTTTACATAATTTATTTTAATATTTATTTAAAGAATTCAAATTAAAATATTTTTTAATTATTAGGTCATAACAAAGATATATCATCCGGGTACATTAGAATATATCTTTCTATAAACTAATTTATTAACTTAATCAAAATAAACTATGACCATATTAGAGGAAAATAGTTACTGGTCAGAAAGGAAAGGAAACAGCTGAGTAAGAAAATGAGATTTTTATTTTTAAAAAATTTAACCATTTTTTAAAAACTTTTTATAATTAAATGAACACAAAAAACGAAGTGTTCATTAAAACAAATGAAGTTCAGGTTTAAAATTTGTCCATGCAAACGAATTTTTATTCACGAACATATACAATTTAAGTAAAATAGTTACGGTTCGATTCCATCATAAATTAAAGCCCAAATTGAGCTTGTTATTTTTTTATCATACTAAAAAAACAACTTTTCCATTAAGATGATAACTTTTTAAGGTGACTAAGGACCAACAAATTATTGAAGGACCATTTTATAAAGACATTTTTATTATTCTTCCATGATATAATAATAATCTAGAACTATTACCTGAACGGAGGAGTATAAATTGAATTAAATTTAGCATAAGAGGTGAAAAGGTAAAATCATAAATTTCATGAAAAATAAAGAAGGATGATTAGATGCCATCTTGCTCATTTTAATAATGATTATGTTAAAATAGACGACATTTTGGTCATTATATCTTCCTATCTAGGTATATAAAAGTTCTGGATTTGTTAAACACATCTCAGAGGCTTGATCACCCGCTTCTCAACGAAAAATGTGCTGTCCTTCATCGATCACCGTTCTCATGCCATAATTCGGATATTGTTAAGTCACATACCGACGAATTATCTTTCAAGAAGTTGGTTCACACCTATCAGACTCTCTTTTGTCGTCGATGTTTCAAATATGATTGTCAATTGCATCGTAAGATAAGCAAAATATTGAAATATTTATTTGCTGATGTTTTATATGAGATTAGTGAAAATTGAAAGAATTTTATAACATACAATTTCTATAAATCTATTATCTTTAATTAATTTAAAAAAATATATTATTCATAGTTTTTCAACCTCCATCTATGTTGGCCAGAGAAATCAGAAGGCCTCCCATTCCTGTGAATTTATTTGAGGACCCTTCGTGCTCACCTAATTGCTATATAAATGTTTTTTCTTCATGTTTTATTAAATTTTTATTTTTAGTATAATTCGTAAATAGTTTAAATTAAAGATATTTTAAAACTAAAAAATGGCAATGATTATAAATTATTTTATTTTTTGGAAAGTTTAAACCGGCATCTATAATGAAACTTCGCAGCGCGGTACATAAAAGTGACTTAGATACAAAAGGTAAATCCCCACCATTTAAAAATAAATCTCTATCTAAATCAGAGACCTGCAGACAGGCCCGGAAAATATTTTTTTAAATGACCGGGCTTTGCTGAAAATTTAAAATAATAAAATATATTTAAAAGTTGTGATTCATAGAACAATATATCACATTCATTCACTTTAAAAGATGCTGTACAAAGGTTTTAATCAAAATTTAATTTTCATTTTTTCGTTTCTTAAAAAAATATTTATATTAAAATATTATTCAAATTAATTATTCAACTAATGCAACAGAGATACACTCAATATTCAAAATGTAATACACTTTTTAAAGGGAAAACAGGGAGAGAGCTCAAAATAACTGATATTTTTATTAATGACTATATTAAATTACAAGAATCGCTGGGGTGGCCCAGTTGTCTGTTGTCCCAAGTTCAATCCTGGTAAGGAACTAAAAGTTTTCGGGTTTTTATTTGATGATGGATGGCTTTAGACGAATCCCGGAAAAAAAACCCCGGAAACCCAAGGAAAAAAACTTCTAGGAAAAAAACCCGAGATTTTTTTTTCGAATTTATTTAAGACCTAATAATATCGGTATATTTTTATTTGGATTAATTAGTATTTTAGAAATAAAATATTGTAGATCTCATATACCCTCCATAAAAAAATGCTGATTTCAAATTGATACAGGGACAAAAAAATACATCAGTAAAATAACCCTTGTATTACTTATTTCCGTAATAATTATTTGCTATAGTAATAAATACAATATCCATCCTTAATTACTATATTAAGTAGACAAAATTTGCAATAAGATGTGTTTATTTTATTAAAAAATCATTATTATGTATATACAAATTTAAAAATTTTCAATAATAATTATATCGGTTGACTCGTATATTGAAGGAAATTGCCCTCATAAAATCTGGAAGGCTTCGCACCCCATCACGGTATTCCTTGCAAAGTTTCTTTAACCGAATCTGTGTATTGAAACTGCGATTTTGTTTTCGGTGTCCAACTGACTACACGCCATCGTTCAAGTTTGGTTTCATCGGCAGCCACTTGACATTTCATTTTTTAGATCAATACCCAGATTGATAGGTGCTTGTTCACAACCAGATTAGAAAAACGATGATTCCAACCTTCGCATTGATTATTTGTGTGTTCTTTGTCGGATAGAGTGCTTTCATTCACGTTTCAAGTTTCTGGAGGAAATCGAGGCCCAATTCGACGTGTCTGGGATTGAGAATTGTTTCTTGAAACCTCCCTTGATACTCCATTGATGTAATTTTTATCGAAATATTCAAGAATATCTTTACCATTGGTCGCAGTCACCGATCTCAGGAATGCCATTGCATCGCCCATATCACATAAAGGAACAAAAGCTAAGCCGTCCATCATGCCACAAAAGAAGCTTAGGGCTTCATCGGTTATGTATTGGCTTTCCAGACCTAGATTTTGTATTTTCCCGTGGGTACTTTGACACAAATGGTATAAGCATACTCTGATTATGATATGATCCCCTAATTGAAAAAATAAATATAAATAATTTAACATATTAATAATCATACCAATGACAGTTTTAACCGCACTCATAGCAGACTTTTCGAAATCCATGTATATATATAATGGATCAGGAAATAAATCCCTTTCTTGACATTTAGACAGTAATATTTCAAATATTTTTTCATAAGTATTTTGTGTTTTTTTTGTAGTACACAATAAACAGCCGTGATAAAAATATTGTTTATTGATATTCTAACGATATATTTTTTTTTCTTCTCTTTAGCTTTCATCTTTTCTGGTGGTAAGCTCCTTCAACATCTCTCTCCACTTTATGTTATTCATACAATCTCTTTTATCTATTTTATACTTCTTTATATTGGCTCTAACTTTATGGCCCCATTGAAGTTTTGGCCTTCCTCTTTTACGTTTGCCCATCACTTCCAAACTTTCAACTTTATTTCCTATGTAGTTCATAGGCCTTCTCATTGTGTGCCCATACCACCTAAGTCTGTTTACCATTAACTTAGTCTTAATGGGCACTACCTTTAAACTATTTAGTATTCTTGTACTGCGCACCTTATCCTTTCTTGTTACCCCAGCAATCATCCTCAGCATTCTCATCTCCATAGTTTGTAGACTTCTCTCGTCTGATTCTTTGGTTGGCCATGTTTCCGAACTATATAGAATAGTTGGTTGTACTATGGAACTGTAGATTTTTCCCTTTAATTTGTGTGGGATTCTTTTGTCAAATAGCACTCCAGATAAAGATCTCCACTTTAACCACCCTTGATTAATCTTATTCTTTATCTCTTTTTCTATTGTGCCGTTTGTTTGTATAGTGGAGCCCAAGTATTTGCAGCTTTCAATCGATATATAATTGTAGAAAATTTTTGGGGGACATGGCAAAATTTCCATCCATATACCATGCTGTGTATTTGATATTAAATTCAAGGATTCATCCGTTGCAAACATGATGATGCGTTCTTCAGCTTGTGGGCCATTATCAAATAATAAAAATCTTTTTTCGTTCTGGGAACCACAATTCGCCCAATCACCTATAATATTTAAATTTTTATAAAAATATAATTTTATTTATACTAATACCTTCAATAACTATGTATTCCAAATTATCAAGATTTGAAGGGTTGTTCTTTGCCCTATGATTCCTTAGAGTTCTTTTGATTGAATCTTCAGATATCATGTGTGACTGAACACTTTGATATAATTTTACAACTTCCTCTGCATATATTTGAAGAGGTTTTGCTAAAGCGTCTGCACATCGTTTCTTCATGTTTGCAACAGATTTCATTGCTACTAGTCCATTGAAATTTTATGGATGATTATGAGCTGTTTCAACTATCGGGTTTTGATTTTCAAGTGTTGATGAAAGTATTGCCCGGCATTTGAAAGATGAATATTTTGAACAGCGCCATCTTATCTTGTTTACGCATTTTTTATGGATGGTATAAGAAAAACCTTCGAATATGATTTTTCCAGGATGAATTAAATCCATTAGTTTTTTTAAATAAAATTAAAATTTTATGACTTAAATATTATATTATAAATTATCAAAATTAAAATACAATAAAAAAATTTTTTGTCTTTTTATACCATATAAAGTTGATACAAATTATTAATTTTCAATTGTCTAAATACCAGGAATTATAGCGTTTTCAATGCAGATAAACAATTTTAATTCTTTTGATTAAATATTAATTTAAATTCTTAATGATAAACAGTAAGGTAAAACATCTTAATAGCTGTTCATTTAGGTACTTTCAGAGCAATTATATTTTGTAACAAATTATTAAATTTTAAATTGTTTAAATACCAGGAATTATAGCGTTTTCAATTCTGGTAAACAATTTTAATTCTGTTGATTAAATATTAATTTAAGCCCTTAATGATAAACAATAAGGTAATACATTCATGAGCAATCACTTATAAATTTATTTATCAAAATTAAATTGAGAAAAAAAAATCTTTTTTCTATGGGTTTTTTTTCCTGGGGGTTTTTTTCCGGGGGTTTTTTTCCTATTACCCTTTAGACATATGATATGATAAATTTTTGAACCGAGAAATGCCACCCGGTCACGACACGAGTGCTAGGATACTTGTCCAATAAACCAAAAATGACGGTCAGCTGAATTCGTGGGTCAGATGATAACGATTTCTTGGCCAGCGCTAGGATGATAGGATGATGGTGACCTCGGGGGCCGCTCAAGTTCAATGTCTACCAATACAATGGACTTGATAACGATACTCCGGTGGGAGATCCATTGGGATTGATACTCCAGTGGGAGATCAGGATTGGGATATCTGTCGATTTGATAATTCGTTGTGAGGAATACTCCGGTGGGATATCTGGTCGATATTGATTTGATACATCTGTGTGAGATCAAGATACTTTGGCCTCGATAGCGATACATCGGTGATCGATACAAATGAAAAAGATCAGAAATACAAATAGATAAAAATAGATAGCATGAATAAATAATAAAGTGGAGATAGATAGTGAAGGAGTTTACCACCAGAAACGGTGAAAGCTAAAAGGAAAAAAAAATTAAATTACAAGAGGAACAGGAAATAAAGGAATTACAATCGACAAGTTGAATAGAAAGTGTTTTTTTATTTAAACTCACTCATTTTATGATAAATGGAGAGGTAATATAATTGACAAGTTGTTATATATAGATTTTATATTCACGCTAAAAACGACCGTAAAATTCCGAATAGTAAAATTTATTTTATAGAAATCCTAGCAGATTTTTTTTGTTTAAAATTGTACCTTGTCATGCAAATGGTACTTCTGCAAGTCTCTAATCTAAATTATAATTGTTAAATCATTTAATCTATCTTAAAAACCATAAGTAATCAATGATTTACTGAAAATTTTTAAGAATTCGATCATAACTTAACCGATTCTCCTATTAAATATACCAACCAACCTAATGAAACAAACCAGCATCTGATCCCGAAAATGGATTGGGAGGAAACCCGAACGGAAAAGGATATTGGCAATTCAGATGACTTGACTACTCTCAGGTTGGTGAGAACCGTGTATGGCTCAGAGGATTTTTGCAGTATGGCCAAATTTTTGCCTCATTTGACCTGTCATCAGGTGATTTTTTGGAAAAAATAATATAAATACATATGGTTAGCAAAAATCATGATTTTATTTATAATGAAAGAGAAATAATAGGCTTGAGGATTTAATCTAGAACGGTTATTAGAATGGTCGCACAGTAAAAATTAGAACAAAAAAAGACACTTTATTAAATTCAATCGAAGAAAAATGATAGTCTTTATTGATTATATTATTAGAATATTAACGTTGATGTGGTCTTTTTATTTTATGATATGGTTATACAAAAGAAAACAAGTGGTGTTCGAAAATGAAAATATATATATGGTGAATTTCATATCAAATCAACCAAAAAAAGTCGATTCTCAACCCGACCCCCTTCAATTTTTCTTAAATTTTGCATAATGGTAGTATATACTATAACTAAGAAAAAAATGAAATTTTACCTCCCAAAAAGGTTTACTCGCTCAGATATGGGCGTTTAAAGCGCGGAAAAATGGTTTATTTTTGACAAAAAGTGCCTCATTTATTTTCAAATATCTCAAGAAATAATTAAGTTAGAAAAATAATTTAAATTTTATTATGTAGCTTAATAATAGTTCTTTAATATGACATAAAAATAAATATGATATAAATTTGATGAATGTCCAAAACCGGATGTATAAAACCGGAAATGGCCATAGAAAAAAAAGGTATTTTTTTTTTCGAAATTTTTTTTCTGTAGATAGATATATTACTATTTTATATTTGCCAAATCCTAGCCTGGGATGAAAAAGGGTCTAGGAGTTATGACTCTTTATATGGCTTAAATTGATCAAAAATATCTTCATTTAATGAATACTTATGAAATAATGTTTTTTTAAAAATTCTGTCTAAATGATAGGCCCTAACTTTTTTTTATTTTTATGTTAACATATTGTGACTGAAAATTATTGACAAAATAATTCTAAACCAATTTATAACTTTATTTTTCTGAAATGCATAATTACATATAATATAATAATTCATAATTATGTTTACAATATATCATATATTAAATTATCTAAAGAATTGGAATAAATTTTGACTTTAATTTTATTTTCGTCAAGGGGAATATAAGCATGGTATTTTTGTGTTCCCGGAATTCTTTTTGCTCTCAAAAATCTGCTTTCTAGATGATTTTCCATATTATTGTATTCATTATTGCTTACAAAAATGTAATTTACTCCGTGTATATTATTTGTTGCAAAGTCGAATAAATCCATTGGTGTCAAAATATGGTTTTGATATGGCCGTTGCAAACTAGCTCGAGCTGCTAACCGTTTTGTAATACCTCCTAAACTGTCGCACGGACTTTTTCCATGAGCTGTAGCAAAAAAATGCCACTCGGCCTTTATACCAAAATCACATTCATGATTATAGAGATTTATGAAATTTTTTTTATTTTTATATTGGGTTACGGCCCCATCAGAAAAATAATAAATTTTGGTCAATGTATCAAATCTTTCTTTTAAAAATAAGATCATTTTAGTTTGAAATAAATAAAAGGCACAGGCATTGTGCTTTAAACAATCTGATATTACCACTAAACTTATATGTTTTATAGTGTTGTCCTGACGATAATAAATGATAAAAGGGTGAATAGTGGACTGATTATTTGTCCAATGAAATCCCTGTGCATGGTCTTGCACTATAGATGCATAATTTTACGAAAAGTCGGCAATAACTAAGTATTCGCCAACATTTAAATTAGATTTTAAATTGTTTTGAAATAATGATTGTTGTGATGCTATAAATGAATGTGGAATCTAATTGTCTAATTTCTCAATTAAATAATCTAGGAATTCATCAGCTGATTTTGTCAGCGTTTCGAGCGTAGTTCTATCAACTGCCAACCATTGTTTAAATGATATATAATCTATTGAATTCGTATCAAATAATATAATAAGTCTTTGATCCAGGACAAAATTTACATTTATTGAAGTAACATCCAGGCTGGGCAGGATTTCAAAGACTTTGTGCAATACAATGTTTATAATCGTTTATTGGAGGATAATTATAATGATCATTATTGTTTGTAAGCTGTTTTAATTTTCCCCCTATTAAAATAAGCTTAAAATTTTGGTGTAGTGTGCAGATACACATGGTATGTGTACCTGGACCACCTGCTAAAACACAGTTTTTGGGTCGTAAGAATGCAAATCTACTAAGACCTAACTGAATATCGTTATGAGTCTCTCTAAAGTGAACGAAAAGTTCTTTAATATTACATAAAATTAATCTTTTCTGCACTTGATCCTTTTTCCCATTTATATTCATTGATATAAAATTATTTTTTCCAGGCATAAGCCTACTATTTACTTCAGAATTATAAAAATTTTTTACTTTTTCCACAATATCTTCTGAAATATACCGACTTGGTTTAATAATATTAGGATTTGAGAGAATACCCTTTTCCCTAACTAACTTCTTGGCTGTTCTGGCCATAAAATTAGTCGTGGAAAATTCTTCTTCAATTTTTTTATTAGTCCATGATTTTGGTAAAATAGTTAAAATTAAAATTTTTTCGCTGCGAGAAGTTTTTGTTAAAAATTTTTCTTCCAATTGATTAATGATTTCGGATTCATATTTTTCAACTACATCTGACTCTGAATTTATCTTAAAAATATCCTTTTTAATCTTTTTCTGAATTTTAATACATTTTTTTGTAGAATATTTTTTTTCAATAATTCGCTTCTTTTTAATAGGAGTCTCGTCTAAAAACTGTAATGTCTCGTTTAAAACTTCTATAGAAACATCTCTATCAATGTATTGTTCGGGAATTGTGGAAATAGATGGTAATGGTAAGTCATGTTCCGTGGATATATTTTTTAATTTTTTTCTGCATCCACTGCAAATTTTATCTTTTAGTGTTAACGACTTGTTTTTTCTATCATCCACTGCAAGACATTTCTCAAGTCTTTGCGAATGGAATGCTTTTCATATTTGAAAGGATTAGAGCAATATAAATTAATTGGGTTCATTAAGTTAAATAATTGTGAAATTAATAAAATATTTGTTATTTGAAATAAACCTATAATTTTTAATTTTATTTTTTTAAGATCGATTTTGAAATTTAATTTTCTTTTTAAATAATATAATATGATTTTTTTATTATTTTTTTCGTTTAATAATATTATTGATTCTGATAATTTAGTTTCTGTTTCCCAATAATATAATATGATTTTATTATTTTTTTAGTTTAATAATATTATCGATTCTGAAAATTTATTTTCTTTTTCCTAACTAAAAAAATAATAAAATCAATTATAATATTGGGAAAAAGAAACTTCTTCTTCTTCTTCTTCTCCGTTTTATGGCGATTTCCAGGTTTACCCGGGTAGGCCAGTTTTCCCTCTGATTTTTCTTTTCCATTTTTGACGGTCCTGAGCATCAATACTTGTAAGATTCAAGCTTCTCATATCCGCCGCTATCACATTTGTCCACGTCATCTTGGGTCTTCCTCTAGGTCTTGATCCTCCTACTTCCATCATTGTGCATCTCTTTACCCAGTCATCTCTTGTCATACGTTCCACATGCCCAAACCATAGAAACTAAATTATCAGAATCGATAATATTATTAAACTAAAAAATAATAAAATCATATTATATTATTGGGAAACAGAAACTAAATTATAAGAAGCAATAATATTATTAAACGAAAAAAATAATAAAATCATTATATTATTTAAAAACTAAAATCTCAAAATCGATCTTATAAAAATAAAATTAAAAATTATAGGTTTATTTCAAATAACAAATATTTTATTAATTTCACAATTATTTAACTTAATGAACCCAATTAATTTATATTGCTCTAATCCTTTCAAATATGAAAAGCATTCCATTCGCAAAGACTTGAGAAATGTCTTGCAGTGGATGATAGAAAAAAACCAGTCGTTAACACTAAAAGATAAAATTTGCAGTGGATGCAGAAAAAAATTAAAAAATATATCCACGGAACATGACTTACCCTTACCATCTATTTCCACAATTCCCGAACAATACATTGATAGAGATGTTTCTATAGAAGTTTTAAACGAGACATTACAGTTTTTAGACGAGACTCCTATTAAAAAGAAGCGAATTATTGAAAAAAAATATTGTACAAATAAATGTATTAAAATTCAGAAAAAGATTAAAAAGGATATTTTTAAGATTAATTCAGAGTCAGATGAAGTTAAAAAATATGAATCCGAAATCATTAATCAATTGAAAGAATGAATTCAATAATATGGAAAATCATCTAGAAAGCAGATTTTTGAGAGCAAAATGAATTACGGGAACACAAAAATACCATGCTTATATTCCCCTTGACGAAAATAAAATTAAAGTCAAAATTTATTCCAATTCTTTAGATAATTTAATATATGATATATTGTAAACATAATTATGAATTATTATATTATATGTAATTATGCATTTCAGAAAAATAAAGTTATAAATTGGTTTAGAATTATTTTATCAAGTAATTTTCAGTCACAATATGTTAACAATTAAAAATAAAAAAAAGTTAGGGCCTAATATTTAGACATAATTTTTAAAAAAACATTATTTCATAAGTATTCATTAAATGAAGATATTTTTGATCAATTTAAGCCATATAAAGAGTCATAACTCCTAGACCCTTTTTCATCCCAGGCTAGGATTTGGCACAAATATAAAGCAGTGTTATATCTATCTATAGAAAAAAAATTTCGAAAAAAAAATACCTTTTTTTTTCTACGGCCATTTCCGGTTTTATACATCCGGTTTTGGACATTCATCAAATTTATATCATATTTATTTTTATGTCATATTAAAGAACTATTATTAAGCTACATAATAAAATTTAAATTATTTTTCTAACTTAATTATTTCTTGAGATATTTGAAAATAAATGAGGCACTTTTTGTCAAAAATGTACCATTTTTCCGCGCTTTAAACGCCCATATCTTAGCGGGTAAACCTTTTTGGGAGGTAAAATTTCATTTTTTTCTTAGTTATAGTATATACTACCAGTATGCAAAATTTAAAAA